GCCTCTTTTTGAACTTGCTGGTTCATATCAGCCTCAGGACCTTTGCACTTTCTTTCCTTTAAAAAACATTTTTTTTGGGGGGAATCCCTGGGTTGCTCAGTGGTTTAGCACCTGCCTTTGGCCCAGGGTGTGATCCTGGGGTCCTGGGATCGAGTCCCATGTCCGGCTCCTTGCATGGAGTCTGCTTCTCCCTCTGCCTATGTCTCTGCCTCTCTCTCTCTCTGTCTCTCATGAATAAATAAATAAAATCTTAAAAAAAAATAAAATAAAAATAAAAAACTTTTTTTTTTTTAACTTTTAAAGTCATCCCCAGGGGGATGTCTGGGTGGCTCAGTAGTTGAGCGTCTGCCTTTGGCTCAGGTCGTGATCCCGGGGTCCTGGGATCAAGTCCCATATCAGGCTCCCCATGGGGAGTCTGCTTCTCCCTCTGCCTATATCTCTGCCTCTCTCTGTGTGTCTCTCATGAACAAATAAATAAAAATCTTGAAAAAAAAAAAGTCATCTCTACACCCAATGTCTGCTCAAACTCACAGCCCTGAGATGAAGAGTTGATTGCTCTTCTCACTGAGCCAGCCACGTGCCCCAGGACCTCGGGACTTTCTGTTCTCTCTCTGAAACACTTGCCTGGCTCTTGATGTGGCTGGCTTTTTCTCCAGGAGGGAGAGGATGTAATTCGAGTTTCAGCTCAAATGTTACCTCGTAGTAAGGTATTTCCTGACTACCTTGTCTAGGTGCCCCCCCACCCAGCACAATTACTCTATTATATTTATCTTGCTTACATTCCTTCACAGCCTGTGTTTCATCTGAAATGTTGCTTCATTTACTCATTGATTGTCCATCTTCCCCCTTCTAGAAGGTGAGCTCAGAGGGGATAGGGGCCTTTCATATCTTATTCACACTCCGTGTGTAGACCAAAATACTTGGCATGCAGTAGGATGAATGATCCATTAATATTTGTTAAATGAATTTTGATCTGTGTGGGGGCTTTTCTTGAGAAAGTTTAATGAAGGTAGTCAAATGTCAAGTATGAAAAAGGTTACTGTTTTTATTTGGCCAACATCCTGCTCAAAGGATCAGCATTGAGGACCAGAGAGAGGCTCCCTGTGGCAGATGCAGCCCTCACTCTATCCAAAGTAGAATGTTTTCCTTACTTAACTGACAGCCTTTTTGTCAGGAATGTTAATTTGTGTTTACTGTGTCTTCTTTCACATGAAAGAATTCAAATCACTACTTAAAAAAAAAACAACATAAAACAGGAGAATAGAATTCTGTCTTTTCCACATTCAACATAACCAATTGTACTGGAATGTCTATTTGACTGGTGTAGAAACAACCCGAGTGGCCAAGTGTGACTGTTTGTCAGTTCTCAGGGCCTTGACTGCGACTGCGGAGAACAGCATGGCAGCTGGGCCCTACTTTTGCGAGCCCGGCCTCTGTTTAAATAGACAGACAACCTCAGGCCGCTGCAAGTAGTTTGCATTTGATCCTCTCTGCCAAGTTCCCTCTGCTTCTCAAATGAATGGATTTCATCTGAAAATCAAAGCATTAATAATTACAGCCTAAGCTCAAGAAAATTCTGTGTCACTGCCATTTCTCTACCCAGGAAAATAATAAAGCAACCTCACAAATATATCAGGCTAAGGATTTTAAATTTAGCTAGTGCCGCTTCTCCTCCCGGATCCCTATGACTCACCTCTACCTCCTGGGGCCCATCCTGCTGCTGGGATGGATGCGGTCCAGCTCTCTGCCCAAACCTCAGACTTGGTGCCATCCCTTCCCATTTGCTGGGAGCACCCGGCAAAGAGATTACCCAAAAGGTAAATAATACAAAAAAGGCTGCAGGCTGATGATTTCAAGAATCTAACAGACCAGGAGGCCACACTTTTATAGTTTTCCCAGATGTAGCTGAGGGCTGCTGTGCGCGGTCCCAGGGAAGTGTTGCTGGTGACCCCCAGGGACTGACTCATGAGGTAGAGTTTCCATACCTTCCAGGGCCAAATGCATGATTGTCCTTCTCAGTGCCATATGGGGAGAGCATAACGCCTCCCTGCACTAAATAGCAGAAAGAGACAGCCATCACTGCCCGGTGCCTGAAACCACAGGGCTCTGCATGGGTTCTGCCTGACGAAGAAGCCACCATATCAAGTAAGCCAAAGGGAGGCCATGGATGAGATGAGTAGATGTATGGGGATCCAAGGCCTTCGGTTTGAAATTTGAGTTTCTTTTTCATCCTTCCCATGGTCTGGTATCAGGCCTCCCATTCTGTGGTCTTAGTGGTACCAAGAAGGGGATTAGGGTTGTCCAGGCCTCTGGGCAGAGAGCACAGACCTCATCTGAAATGGAGAACCATCCACTGCAGAAAACCCCCTTCTTTGGGATCTTGAAAGTTTCATGAAAGTCCTGCTTGGAGGCTGGGTTTTCCCTCCCCACCTTGAAAAGTAACAGGCATGGAATTAACATGGGGAATAGCCTACAGTGTTTTCCAGAGTAGGGTGGTGCCCTACTCTAGGCCTCTGAGTGGGGAAGCATTTCTTGAATCCTCAAAGGGAGGTGATGAGGGAGCCGGTTCTGTTTCACAGGTGTGGATGCTCCCAGATTCTGGGGCTGGCCTCAGCCTGGCTGGTGGCCGGCCACCCGGAACCCAGGACCTGGTTTCCTGACCTTTGCCGAGTCCACCTGGAACTGGCTGTCTGTTCTGGGGCATCTGGGGCTGGTCTGAATGGGGCCAAGATGAAAAGGGGGACACCACCTGGTTAGGTCCAGAAGTGGCCACAGACTAATTCTTGAAAAACTCGAAGAAGGAATAATGAAAAACCCCATTCTCCAGATCCAGACCAACCAAATAGGCATATTTTGGACTTGAAATGGAGCTTGCAGATTCTGGGGAGGAAAGCAAGCACTTTGACAGAAGGTTATGGAACATTCTGGTTCTCCCAGACAGAGCTATTCTGCAGAAACCTGCACAAGGCGCGAGGGTCCTAGGTTGGATATGTGTGCCTGTGACTTCTTTCCCTCTGTCTCTTCCTGTTTTTTTTTAATTTTTTTTTTTTTTTTTACTTATTTATGATAGTCACACACAGAGAGAGAGAGAGGCAGAGACACAGGCAGAGGAAGAAGCAGGCTCCATGCACCGGGAGCCCGACGTGGGATTCGATCCCGGGTCTCCAGGATCGCGCCCTGGGCCAAAGGCAGGCGCCAAACCACTGCGCCACCCAGGGATCCCCCTCTTCCTGGTTTTTGCAACATGCTTGCCTCCAGGGCTTCAGGAAGAAGAGGCGAGTGGATGCCACCAAATAATGGAAGCTGTGGCTAAAATACCTGCACAGTATCCCTCTGCAGGGAAAGCTCAAGGTTAATTTTATGCCTCGGGTAATAGAGGCAAGTGAGAAAAACAGCAGGACCAGAGTCTTCTCTGGTTCACCCTGAACTGATTGAGGCAAGTGATTCGAGGTCAAACTCTTTTCCATAGGCTGCCAGCACCTGGATCTTCTCAAAGATTCACAGGAGAGCAAGAGTGTGCAGAGCCTGGCTGCTTGGAACAGCACAGAGATCGCTGCTGTGGAATGAGTCAGAAGCTCCAGAGCAGCAAAGGGCCTGCTGACCATGCTCGTTTTGCTGGCTTTTGGAGACTCTGAGCCTGTGTATTTTCCTACATTTATTGAGCATCTATTATATGCTAGAGGCTTTGACGTGAGGCACACTGGAGGAACAGGCAGACAAGACCCCTATTCCAGTGGGAATAATAACAATACTGGTGGACACTTGCAGCTCTTACTCTGTGTCAGGCCTTGCTCTGGGCACTTTCTGAAGGATTAACTCCTTCCTCTCCCAGCAAACATGTACAGAAGGACTACACACAGGCAAGAGGTCCCAAGGCCCTGAGACTTGTCCAGAGCACAGGAGCACATACACGCAGGTGGGTACATGCTGAGATCAGTGCTTCCATACCCAAAGGGGGTTGGGAGGATCCTCCAAAGGATGCACTTGCACTGAGAAAGTTGGGAACCAGCCTCAACCTTGGATCTTGGGCATTCAAGATTGGGCTGGAAATTCCTAGCAGCAAAGTGCTTTCTACCAGCACCTGCTCTGGCCAATGCCTACGGTCTTACAAGGAGGCTTAACCCACTCCAGGACACGTTTACCCATTTTTAGGTGTTTTCATGAGAATTCGCTTTCTATTGTCAGCTGATACCAAGTCCAGAAGTGGACTTGAATAAACGAGACCAAACAATGATAAAGTTTTTTGAGGGAAACTGCATAAAACTTTATGTTGAAAAGAATTAAAAAAGAAAACGCTCAAGGCCTTGAATTTCTCAGCTCTTTGTGGGGTGTTGGAGGGTGGATGTCACCCCTGTTACAGCGCAGCCATCTGCAGTGCCCTTCAAGGGGATGTGGACAGGAGTGACAGAGCCGGATCAGGCCAGACAGAAGTCCCTGTACCGGGGACCAGTGACCAGGCCCGAGGCCAGTGGAACAGCCTCATGGACCCCCTCCTCTTCTCTCCAGTCAGGCCATTCAGCTGGGCAGAGCTGCTCTGCCAGGTGATGACTTAGGCTCTGGCTCTGCTCCGCCGCGAGTGCGAGGGGTTTGGAAGGAGCTGCCGGTAGCCGGTGAAGGCTACAGGAACGCCAGCCCCCTTGGCCCGTCCGGCTCCTCACTTACCTGAACCAGGCCCCCGGGACCGTGCCCCCCCCCCGCCCCCGCAAACAGCCCGGGGACGAGGTTCGCGGAGCCGGTTGGTCTGCAGGCGCCTGGCCGGGCAGCGGGAGGCGGCGTCAGGGTGGGTCTGGGGCCGGGGTCGCGTCCCTGGCTGCAGTGATGGTGATGCGGTGGGAAGTGCGGGACCCTCGGGGCGGGCCCGGCGGCAGGTGGGGGGGGGACGGGCGGGGCGGCTTGGGGGGCGGCCCGGCTCGGGGCGGGGCGGGGCGGGCTCCGGGTTCCGCGCTCTGTCCGCCCTCGCGCCCGCGCCGCGCGCCCTCCCGCTCCCGCCCCGCCTGTGCCGCCGCCACGGCCGCGGGAGAAGCAACTTCTCGAGCGCCGGCGACCGGCCGGACCCCGGCGCCGCCCCCGGCCCAGCGCAGAGTGCCGAGGCCATGGACGCGCTGGCCTGGCCGCTGCCCCTGCTCCTCCTGCTCTGCGCGCAGCAGCCCCGCGGCACCAGGTAAGCTCCGGGGTCGCCCTCGGTGAGGAGCACCCTCGGTCTCCTTCCCCGCCCCCACCGCGTATCTACCTCCGCCCCCGTCTCCAGCTCCCCCGTCGACTGGCGTCTTCACCCCCCTCCACTCGTGCCCACTGCTCCCCCGGGCCCCCCGCGGGCGCTCCTCCCAGGACTCACGGCTCCGCTGCCCTTGGGGCCGAGGCCGCCCGGCTGCTGTCCGCCGTCCCAGTGCTGAACTGGCGCCGCGGGGCTGGACGAACGCGTGGGAGCCGCTCTCGGTTCTCCCCCGCGCGCGGGCTCGCGGGGGTCCTCGGCCCCAGCGGCCCCTGGCCGGCCCCTGGCTGGCGTGTGCCCTTCCAGGCGCGGGCTGAGAGCTCAGCTGGGCACGAGCTGCAGGCAGGAAGAAAGGAGCGATCCCGTGGACACGGGGGAGGAGGCTGTTCCCTTCCCCATGAGAGCAGAGCTACCCAGACAAGCTTCCGCCGCAGCTAGCAGGGCTGGGGTGGACAAGAGAAGGCTGTGTGCGGTCGTCAGAAAGTTCGGGCCCAGGACACTGTGGAGTCTCCTTTCAGGGGCCGTTTCAAATGGAATCCACTGAACTCCAGAGTATGCAAGTGGGAAGGAGCCGACTGCCTCTGCTGGGGAGCGGGGAGGGAGAGGAGAGGATGAGGGGGTGGGAGACGAGGACAAGTCAGGATTTCTAACTGTTGGGGGAGGGAAGGAAGGACAAGGTTAAGAAGCAGCCCCCCCCCCCCCCCAGCTGTGGCTTCCTCCCTTTTCCTGGCTTTTCTCTTCTCTGGGGACTTGGAAGGGGCTCCAGGTAGTCTGGCATCCCGTGCACATATCCTGGCCACCTTCCGTGGGAGTTGTGAGGGGCCTTTCTGAAGATCATCTTGGTGCAAGGGCAGCAGAAAAACCAGAGCAAGGACAGCCCCGACCCCCACCCCCCAGCATTCCAGATTTTGGGCAATCAGCCACTGTCAAAGACCTTAGGGACTGGGGAAGGTTGAACATCAGCCTGTGTTTGGGCTATAGGCACTCAGGCAGCACATAATGGGGAGGTGGGGGAAGATGTGGGCAAAATCTCCTTGTTGGTGGCATGGGGGAAGAACCAGGAAGCTCTGGGTCTGGCCATAGGGTGGCCATTGTGCCCAAGATCATGGGCAATGTTGATGCGACATCCTGTCCTTGGGAGGGCTTTGTTCTTTTATCAAGCTCCATCACCCTCTTCCCTCTTCCTACTTCAAGGTAACAGGAAGGGCAGAGCATCGAGGCGTGGCCGTGGATGTATGTGCTAGAGGCCTAGGATGGGCTGTTGGCCCAGTACAGCCATGGAGCTGTGATTCTGAAGTCCAAGCTGCTCCGAACCTCAAAGTCTTAGCCCAAGTTTGACACCAAAACTCATTTGGTGGTAAAGCCTGTTCTGCTCTTACATGAGGCTCATTCATTCTACTTTTGGGGCTTGCTTGTACTTTCCTGCTGGAAAATTCTCCAGACCACCCCCTGACCCTGCACCCCAAGTCCATATGTGCATTGTATTGCCTTTTTTTTTTTAAAGATTTTATTTATTCAGGACGCCTGGGTGGCTCAGTGGTTGATCCCGGGGTCCTGGAATGGAGTCCTGCATCGGGCTCCCTGCAGGGAGCCTGCTTCTCCCTCTGCCTATGTCTCTGCCTCTCTCTCTGTGTCTTTCATGAATAAATAAATAAAGTCTTTAAAAAAAGAGAGAGAAAAAAAGAGAGCAAGGCAGAGAGAGACAAACAGGGGGAGAGGCAGAGGGAGAGGGGGAGGCAGACTCCACTGATCAGGGAGCTCAACGTGGGACTTGATCCCAGGACCCTGAGATCATGACGTGAGCCACCCAGGTGCCCCTATATTGCCTTTCTAAAAACTGAAACATTCTGAACTCTGACCCACATCTGGTTTGGGGTTTCAGGTAATGAATGTGCCAGTCTGCCTGTGCAGGAAGGCAGGGAGACTGTGGCCATGGCCAAGAGGAGAGCCCCTGGGCTTTGTGGGCCTTGGTGGGTGACCTTCAGACAGTGCAATGCTGTCAGTCTGGGGCCTCCCTCCCACCAGCTTCTGTGTCCCTCCAGTTCAGAAGCCAGAGGGACAGTGCCCTCCCTTTCTTCCTGGACTGGTGTGAGAGGACAGGAGGTGCCTGCTCTCAGGTCAGATCCTGGGCTTCCTCATAGGAAAGTCTTGGTGGGAGAAGGAGGAAAGTGCTGTGCAGCATTTGTGGGTTGGGTCAAAGCTGTGCCTTCCCTGAGCCTGACGATCCACCCATGCAGCGGGTGCCTGAGCTTGCCAGCTGCACACCCCCATGGGTGGCCCCTCTGGGTTGCTGGCACCTCCATCTCCCTGGAGAAGCCATGCCTGTATCTCCTGCCTTGCCAGCTCACCGTGCACCCGTTGCGGTGTTCCTCTTTGCCTTGGTAACTGAGGTGCCAATGCAGCTGGTGCTGCTCTGAAAGCAGAGCTGTGAGGGATTGTGGGCTTGTGTGCACGGTGGAAGGATCCTTGGAGAGAAGCTCCCACTGCTTTGCTCAGCTACACCCACCTTTCCTTCCTGTCCCCAGGGGTACAGACAAGCGACAGGAGTGGGCTTGTTTCTCAATGGGTCAGTAGAGGGAGGGAGGCCTAATGGTGCCCAGCACCTAGGAGCAAGCCACCAGTGTTTTCACGGTGCCTGCTTCATCCCAGGAGTCTGGGTGTATGTCTCTGAGCTTCTCTGTCTACATCAAGGGAGCTCCCACCCGAGGCTATCATTGGGTTCCAAGACCATCAGATGAAGCAGAACCTGTCTCCCAAGGTGCTGGTCAGAGTCCCTAGAAGCCGACACTGTGCTGAGCTCCCCTACATGGAATGTGGACCCTGTCAACCCCTATAGCTGCTGCCTGAGCTGTGGGAGGAAAGCAAGGCCCTCCACAACCCCACCTACCACGTAGTTCTAGCTTCACAGATGGAAAAACGAGCAGCCCCTGTGCTAGGTGAGAAGTGACGTGGGGCTGGGGGCCTGTTCCCTTCACACCCCCTTTGGGATGATGAAGGCTAGGAAATGCACTGGCATCCTCCCACTTGAGGGCAGGTTCTGTGGCTGGAGGCTTACCCATACTCTTCCTTCAGGCCACTAGTGGGCAGGGGTCCCAGCAGAGGAAAGGTATGCCTGCCTGTGGCTCCATCCAAGGCCAGGGAAGGACGGTGTCTCCTGGCAGGCGAGCCGCTGCAGCAAGATGGCAGCTGGGCCAGTCCAAAAATAAAATCTAATTGGAATCCCTTTGCATCTGATCTTCAGGGTGACCTCCATTTGTATTTTTAATTGTGTTTTCCTTGGGGCCAGGAGTTCATTCACTTCCTTCTTACACTTTGTTACCAAATCATCTGCTCTACCCCCTCTGGACCAGGCCATTGCCTGGAGGGACCAAGGTGGTCCTTTGGGATCAGTGAGGGGCTAGTGAGTTTCCACAGCTAAGGAGCTCTTGGTTCAAAGTTGACATTCTTCAAAGTGCCGGTATATGAATCAGAGGAGGGGGCTGGGTGCCAAGCTGCTGGTGCTTCCCGACCCAGTCAAGCCCTCCTAGAGTTCTAGAACCCATTTGAGAGTACGATGTTATTACAGAGCAACACAATAGCGCTGTTACTCAGTGCCCTCCTCACCTCCTGCCCGGCTGTGAGTGGGCCTTGCCCTTGGGCCAGGAGGCAGAGTGTGTTGCCTGCAGCTGCTGTAACAAGTGACCACACGCTAGGGAGCTTAAGACCAGAGACATTTATTCTTTCCCAGCTCTGGAGGCCAGAAACCCGAGATCAAGTCTGAGGGCAGGACTGACTCTTTCTGGAGGGTTCTGAGGGAGAATCCATTTTGTGATTTCTCTGCAGCTCCTGGTGCAGCCTGGGTCCTTGGCATCCCTTGGCTTGTAGCTACATCTATCTAAATCTCTGCTTCCATTGTGTATCTGTATGACCTCCCTGTGTGTCTGCTTTCTCTTCATATAAGGACACCACCCATTGGATTTAGGGCCACTCCAATCAAGCATGATATCATTTTAACTAATCATAGCCCAATTTCCAAATAAGGTCCTGTTCTGAGGTTCTGGGTGGACATGAGTGTTGGGCAACAGTGTTCACCCCAGGACAGATAAACACAGGAGGGGTGGGTAGGTAGAGCGGCAGGGGGCCTTAGGCCGTCTGGTGTGTACAGGCCATAAGAGGCCACAGGTGGGACAGCCCTGCGGCCCAGCACAAGCTGTCAGTGGGACTAGCTTTAATCATTGGCATGGGCCCCAGCGCTCTGGGCTCAGGCTAAGCCTCAGAGGCACATGACCACTTGGGGATCTCTGGGGCCAGGCCTGGGCCTGCCTGGAAAGGGACAGAGAGCAAGAGGTTGGCTATAGGGTCCTCATGGGCCCTTATCAGGTTTGGGGTCTCACCCATCCCCCTCCACCGGCCCGCAGCTTCCTGGTCACACAGCTCTTTTCTCAAGTCACCTCCTACAGGACTCTTTGCCTCAGAGGCTGAGAGGGAGGCTGTGCGCCTTTGTCAGGATCCTCGAAGGCTATTCATTGAGAGTCCTCAGGGATGGGGGCTCTGGGACTGCCCACTATCCTTGGGCCCATTATGGAGGGAGGTTGGGGACTCTGGCTGACCCAGCAGGATCGCTTAAGGCCGGGTCGGCAGGAGGTAGCCAAGCAGAGAGGCTGGTGGGTGAGGTGGATGAGCCCTGGGCCCTGCTCCTCCCTGGAGTTCCCTGTGTCTGGCAGGAGTTCCTGGGACTGGCCTGGTCCAGCCTAGGGGGCTCTCACAGCTGGCCACCCTGGCTTTGGTGCCTGGGAGGGGACCTAGGCTCCATAGGGATGCCTGTGCCCTGCCTGTGACCAACGAGCTCTGTGTTTTTAGAGCAATGAATGACATTGGAGACTATGTTGGCTCTAACCTGGAGATATCCTGGCTCCCCAATCTGGACGGCTTGATGGATGGCTATGCTCGCAACTTCCGGCCTGGCATTGGAGGTGAGGGCAGCCAAGGGGATTGGGGGTCTGGGGGGACTCCTGCACTCAGCTCTGGACTGGCTCCTCCGAGGGGTGTAGCTATGGTTCCCAAGGGCCATGTCAGCCAAGGGCTAGCCACAGCTAGCTCCCCTCCAGGGAGACAGCCAGGAAGACGAATCTTCTCAGGATGTTGTTGCAGACTTTCACCAGCATGGTCCTCCCTGCAAAGCCCTGGCTAAGCCCTGTCCTGCCTACCTGGGCTTGTGCAGGGTGGAGAGCCTGGCCTCAGCATCTTCCTTACAGGGCCCCCTGTGAATGTAGCCCTGGCCATCGAGGTGGCCAGCATCGACCACATCTCGGAAGTGAACATGGTAGGTGCTGGCCAGGCTCTGCCCCACCCCTGGCCATTGGCCCCCAGGAGAGGAGCAGGGCTGATGGCCAGTGGCCCTGGCTGCCACCCTCTGCAGGAGTACACCATGACGGTGTTTCTGCACCAGAGCTGGCGGGACAGCAGGTTGGCCTACAACCACACCAATGAGACTCTGGGCCTGGACAGTCGCTTCGTGGACAAGCTCTGGCTCCCGGACACCTTCATTGTGAATGCCAAGTCTGCCTGGTTCCATGATGTGACCGTGGAGAACAAGCTTATCCGGCTGCAGCCTGACGGGGTGATCCTGTACAGCATCCGGTGAGCCTGGGACCCGCCCCCCCCAAGCTGCCTGCTGGGAGCTGTGCACGTTGTCTGTAGCCTTAGGCAACCAGCTCAGTGCAAAACACAGCAGCTGCAGAGGTGGCCGTGGGAAGCCCGCAGGTGCAGCGTTTTGGCCAACACGGTGCCTTTCTGTTTTTTTATGTGGGGATGAAATTCATATAAAATTCACCATTTCAACGTGAATGATTCAGTGGCATTTAGTACATTTGCAGTGTTGTGCAAACATCACATCTATCTGTTTCCAGAACGTCTCATTCCCCAAAAAGGAGGCCCCATGCCCATGAGCACTCACTTCCCCGAACCCCACTTTCTGCCTATTCTGCACATTTCATGTCAAGTGAATCACACGCAATGTGCCCTTTGGTGTCTGCCTTTCTTCTGGAGCGCAGTGTTTCTGAGGGTTACCCCGTTGTGACATTTATCAGGGTTTGGTGGCCTAGCACCCCTCACCCATTCATGAGCTCGGGGCTGCTTCCACATGTTGGCCATCATGAGTTGTGCTGCTGTGAACATACATGTGTGTGAATTTGTTTGAACACGTGCTTTCTGACATATGCCTTTTAAAAACAGCATTAGCTGCCAACATTTTAAAAACCAGGAGATTTATGTAAGAATCTAAATTCTTCTGGAAAATCAGAACATTTGGCAACCTGGACCTTTTTGTACACTGCCCAGGCAGTGGGACTGCCCAGAGGTCAGGTGCTCAGGCTGGACCTGCCTTCTAAGCTCCCCATGTAGCCCAGTGAAGAAAGTGAATGAAGCCAGTGGTGATTCCTGAAGAAAGACCCACAAATATCCGTACACGGACCACAGTTTTCAGCCCTCACCCAGATGCCAGTGAAGCCCAAGAGGCCGCTTGGCTATGCTCGCTGGAGGTGGCCCCTCTGGGTGGGGGGCAAGAGAACCAGAGGATTTCGGGCACTGGCCTCGCTCCTGGAGGCCTCACCAGCATGTTGTCTGGGCAGAATCACCTCCACGGTGGCCTGTGACATGGACCTGGCTAAATACCCTATGGATGAGCAGGAGTGTATGCTGCACCTGGAAAGCTGTGAGTGCCCTTCTGGGGCCGGGACAGGGTGGGGTTGCACTCGGGCCAGGCCGTGCAGGCGTCTCCAGTGACTTTGCTGTGAGAGGAGAGGGGACTCACAGCTGGCCCAGCTCAGGCACAGGAAGGCATCTGGGACGGGCCCTATGGCATCAGAGGCCTGGGCTGAGGAGAAGGAAGAGAGGTTGCTGGAAGGCCTGACCGGCCTGGCCCTCTTCCCACGGGTCAGTGCCTTGCCCGGGATGGACAGGTGCGGAGCCCAGACAAGGTGTGTGTGTGTGTCACCGACCCGGTGTGACAGCCCCTGTGGCTCACCTGCCCTTTGGCCAGCTCTTCTGGCCCCGGCCACCTGCCCAAAGTCTTCCCTTTGTGTCCTTGGCTGTGTCTTCATGTGCTGTCCCCCGTCTCCACCATGGGTGGGGTGCTCCTGCTGAGGGCTCCTGGGGGCCGGGGGACACCGGGCTCTACTGCCCACCTGGGGCTCTCCTGCAGATGGTTACTCCTCAGAGGACATCGTTTACTACTGGTCTGAGAACCAGGAGCAGATCCACGGCTTGAACAAGCTTCAGTTGGCTCAGTTCACCATCACCAGCTACCACTTTGCCACAGAGCTGATGAACTTCAAATCTGGTAACGTGGCTTCTTGTGGCTTCTCGTGGCCTCTCGTGGCCTCTTCCTGTAAACCTGGCTTGTGGTTTTTTGGCACTTTTAACTAAGTTGCTAGTTGGCTCCTCCATTACCCTGAGGATGTGGCTGGAAAACCACTGATGGCCATGGGCTGTGCCCAACGAAGGGACTCAGGACACCACAGTACGGATGTGGCTCAGGCTCTCTCTGCCTTATTCTTCTGTCCTTTGCTGCTTCCTGGAGGCTAGCCGTGCCTGGGGCCTGGGGTCTGGGGAGTATGAGGGGTGTGGGAGTCAGGGCCACACCTCCTGAGGCTGCCTTGTCTCCTGGCCTCTCCTGCCCCTTCCCAGTACCTACCACCTGGTCATTGGTGCCCACTAGCCTGGCTGGCTCTTTGCTGTAGCTTGGCTGTGCATGGAGGAGGGCCAGGACAGGTGAGCTGGCCACACTGCTGGCTGAGTCCCCTGGGTCAGGGCAGCACTGGACCTGTCTCCCTCTGTCCTCTGGGTGACCCTGCAGGGGCCCAGCCTCTCCCCGACAAGACCCTGGGCAGAGGAGCCCCCTGACCCATTGGGCTTTGTGGGGAAGGTGGGGAAGAAGGGGTCTGAGGCTTTCAGTGGCTCCCCAGTGCCCTGCCACGCCCTCCTCTCTGCCCGAGAGCTGCTGTGTGTGGGGGTGGGGGGTGTGTGGGGTGTGTGGGGTGTGGGAGGTGAGGTCCCAACCAGGAGCGTTTCCCGGCAGCGGGTCAGTTTCCTCGGCTCAGCCTGCACTTCCACCTCCGGAGGAACCGGGGTGTCTACATCATCCAGTCCTACATGCCCTCCATCCTCCTGGTCGCCATGTCTTGGGTCTCCTTCTGGATCAGCCAGGCAGCAGTGCCCGCCAGGGTATCTCTAGGTACAGGGCCCTGATCTTTCCTCAGAGGGAGCTGGTGGAAGGATTGGAGCCCAAAAATAGGACTCCAACCCTGCTCGCCACAAGCCCGGTCTTGCCTCCTTGTTCCCAGCTGTCCTGGGCCAGTGGCCAGCCAGGCTGGGGCTGGTTAGAGGAGCTGACCTGCACCTGGGCTGGGGGCAGGGATGCAGGGAGATGACAGGGGCCCCAGCAGTGTCACTGCTCATTCCCAGCAGGCATTACCACAGTGCTGACCATGACCACGCTGATGGTCAGTGCCCGCTCCTCCCTCCCGCGGGCCTCAGCCATCAAGGCGCTGGATGTGTACTTCTGGATCTGCTATGTCTTTGTGTTTGCTGCGTTGGTGGAGTATGCCTTCGCCCACTTCAATGCTGACTACCGGAAGAAGCAAAAGGCCAAGGCCAAGGCCAAGGTCAAGGTCACAGAGCAGAGAGCAGAGGTGAGGCTGGGGCTCCTGGTTCTCTGGTGCTCAGAAACAAGGACGGCCTCCCCTACCACCTCCCACTGCCCCTCAGCCCCCACTCCCTCCGCCCCCAGCACAGAGGGGCAGTGTTCCTGGGGCCACTCTTCCTGGGACCGATTCAGGACCTACTGCTCTGGGGAGGTAACCTGCAGCCCTTGGCACAGGACAGCAGGCCTGGACTCTTTGGCCTTTCCTGCTGCTGGTCACAGTGATACCCACAGAGGGACTTAGCCGCTGACCCAGGTTGGGGGTTCTGGGGGAGGCAGCCAGCCCTTGGCTCAGCCCTGTCCCCCCACCCCTACCCTCGCTATGCAGATGGATGTGAAGAATGCCATTGTGCTGTTCTCCTTGTCCGCTGCGGGAGTCACCCAGGAGCTGGCAGTGTCCCGTCGGCAGTGCCGCAGGCCTGGGAACCTCATGGGCTCCTATAGGTGTGTGGAGGTGGAGACAGGAGAAGCCAAGAAACAGCGGGGGGCCCGTGCAGGGAGCCAAGGAGGCCTCCGTACACTTTTCAAACCCATTGACGCAGACACCATCGACATCTATGCCCGTGTGGTGTTCCCTGCGGCCTTTGTGGCAGTCAATGTCCTCTACTGGGCAGCCTACACCATGTGAGGGCAGAGGTGGGCCTCTGCCTGTCCTGGAGCCTATAGCCACCAGGTAATCTGCCCACTCTGGCTGTTTCAAAGGGGACATGACAACAGTCCACATAAAATGAGAGGAAAGCCTTGGCCTCCCTGCATACCCCAGGCTCTGTCCCCACTGTTACCTGGAAGTCAGCCTGGGGCTCCCCCAACGCACCTCTCCTGCAGACCCCCAGCCCAGCTCCTCCTTGGCAGAGCCAGCTTGACCTGAGGCTAAGCTAGGCACGCTCAGGGCCCTTGGTGGACTTCACAATCCTGATTCTAGGCATTTGGTCTGTGGGTTTGGGACCAGGTCGTGGGAGGCTGGGAGTAGGTGGTGCTACTTTCTTGGTGAAATGGTAGAGAAGGGCGTCCATGGGCCTTCGGTCCCAGCATGAAATAAAACATAGCCTTTGGCTGCTCGCTGTGCTCCCTGTGCCTGTGGCTGGGCTGGGGCTGTACCCTCGCTGACTAGAGACCACTTCCAGCTGTGGGTTCCCTGGTCTCTGGACGGAGGGGCTTGGAGCTAGATGTGCCCATGTCCTTGGGCATCGGTGAGAGGGGCAGAGGTACGGGAACCTAGAGAGGCTGGAGGAGTCACACCCCACCTTGGTGTCTTGGTCCCTTGGCCAGGATGCCACTACGCTGTCTCCTTATACATGGTGATGGGTGAAGGGAGGCCGTTGAGTCTCCATGAACACCACTCAGCCCTTTCTCCTCTGCTGCCACCATGGACGTAGGGTGACGAGGTTGCAGCAGGGTGACAGGGGTCATTGGCCACTGGAGATCTGACAGGCAGCAGGGGGTCCAGGTTTTTGGTGGCACCAAAGCAGAGCAAGTCATCACACTCAGAGGAGACGAAAGCCGGCAGTGAGAGGAGCAGTGGTCACAGCAGAGCCCTGAAAGCCTGTGGATGAGGCTAGCCATGGGTATGCCACACTGTGGTCAGGGTGGCAGCCAGGTGACTGCCCAGCTGGCCCCGTGGTGACCTTCCTAATGGTCCCCACCTCAGGCCACCTCAAGGGGGAAAGGATGGTGACTTTGTGTGAACCCTGGGGCCTGCCATCTGCCTCTGGCCATACAATGTATCCAGGGGTCTGCAGCTTTGGAGGCCATGGGGACAGGATGCTAGAGGACACTTACTCCCAAAGGGCTATGCTGGCAGAGTGACTACTGAGGTCCAGGTGCCCCAGCAAAGGGGTGCAGGGTAGTGCTCCCCAAAGACCTGGCCTTGTCAGGGGCAAAGGAGAACATCTGCCAATCTTCCCAAACCACAACCCAGGCTTAGCACTTCCAGCTCCAGCTTCACTCTTCCTCCCTCTCTTCCTCCAGCTCCTCCCTCTCCCCCTCCAGCCCTACCTCCATCTCTAGCTCCAAGGCCCTTTACCTCCTCAAGACCTCTCCTGGTACAAGGTTACCCCTTTGTCCCCTGCCCTAAAGGCCTGGGTTGCAGAGCTTGGCAGAGTCATCCAGGGAGTAGGATGGGCCAAGGAGCAAGACCTCCAGGATTCAATGTGAGCAGAAGCTCCACAAATGGAGTGGACCTGGGGGTGAGTGGAGAGCAGGTGGCTGATGAATAGCAGGGCTTGGATCTGGGTCAGCTGGGGATCCGGGCCACCTCAGGACAGATGGGGGTATTGGGGGCAGCCAAGCCCGGCCAAGTCCATAAATGAGGACAGTGATGCCCAGGGGCAATGGCCCCAGTATCCCTTGCCACCCGGTACCTTCTTGTGCAGAGTCACTGCTCCCTCCTCCTGGACCCTGGAGGACTCCCCGGGGTAGGGTGTTCCAGCCCCAGATGGTGCACAGAAGCTACCAGGCGGGGCTCAAGGCTGCCCGTCTTCAACCCTGGAGGCAGCTAGGGTGCTGTCCCAAGCCTTATGTTGTATGGAGGAAGGCGGGGTGGGGTCAGCTGCACCCGTGGGCCTCAGGGGATGTGCAGGTAGGTTCAAGGTTCACGGAGCTGCTGAGCTGCCAGGACCCCCCCCCCCCGCCCCCCTGCCGGCCCCATGCCTGCCTGTCCTCACCTTCCCTGTGGCTTGCAGGCTGCCCTCTCTCTGCGGCACATAACCCACAAGGAGCTATTTAAAGCCGGCCTTTGTGCCCGCCTCGGGCACCCACGCGTCGAGGCCCACCCGGGCAGGAGCCTTCGCCTGGTTCCGCACCCAGCAATCACTCGCTTCAGCCTGCAGGCTGCTATTTCTGCCCACATATTTACAGGGCCAGAAAAAAGGGACGGGAAGGGCTGGTGCTTTATAAACGCTGAGTTCTATTCCGGGGGTGATGAGATGGGCAGATTGAAGGCCGGGGCGGATCGAGGTTTGCAGCTGAGCAGGCCCAGCTCAGGAAGGGGGTGCCAGCAGTTCCCGTATTACAGGCATCTGGGCTGGCGGGAGGATGGGGAGGGGATGGTGGGGAGGGGAGGCTGCCTCCGGATGTGTCTCATTGCAGCAGGACAGTTTTGGGGGGCTGCTGGCTTCCTCGTGTGTTGTCTCTGGCAGACGCTGGAATGTGCATTGTCAATGCTGCTTCTGAAATGCTTCCCTGAGAGCTGGGACAGCTCCTCCCCAAGTCCGGAGGGTCCGGGGTGGTGACCCCATTTTGCTCTCCTGCCCACGGCAGGGGCACATCCCCAGCACCTGGGGGGCATCATTTGGGTTCTCTCCAAAGCCAAGCCTGGGACAAGGGCTTTGGAGCAGGGCATTTATTCAGGAGGGATGACTTTCCTGGGGCTGCCACGGCAAAGGACCACAGACCAGGTGCTGGAAACAACATAAATCTGTTCTTTTGGTCTGGAGGCCAGAAGTCCAAGATCAAGGCGTGGGCAGGTTTGCCCTCTGGATGCTGTTGGGGGGGGGGGTCTGTCCCAGCTCCTGCTGCTGCCAGGGATCCTCATGTCCCTTGGCTAGAGATGCAGCACCCAATCTCTGCCTGTGGACACGTGGCACTGTTCTGTGTATCCTCTTCTTACAAAGGCGGCTGTCATTGGATTTAAGGACTCATCTTTTTTTTTTTAAGACTTTATTTATTTATTCATGAGAGATACACACAGAGAGAGAGAGGCAGAGACACAGGCAGAGGGAGAAGCAGGCTCTATGCAGGGAGCCCGATGTGGGACTCGATCCCAGGTCTCCAGGATCACGCCCTGGGCCGAAGGCGGGGCTAAACTGGAGGAGCCACCCGGGCTGCCCTTAAGGACTCATCTTGACCTTATTTCTAAATAAGGCCTGGGTAGGCATGAATTTGGGGGGACACTGTTTAACGCAGTATAGGGGGTGATGTGGAGGCAAGAGTGCAGGAAGCAGAAAACACTGGAAGGTGCTTTATGGCCTGGGGCACTCGGGTCCCAATCCTGCTGGGAAGCCCCTGCCCAACATTGGAATGCACCTCTGAGGTATTCTTGAGGAATGAGGAGCTGGGGCATTTATCACCCACTGCCACCCCAGGGCCACCCTGCCTGTAAGCAGAGGACAGCCTGGCAACACTGTGGAAAGTGCTAGAAGGGCTGCTGCTTGTGGCAGGTGCAGTGCAGGGGTCCTGGCAGTGGGCAGTCATCCCTGCAGTGCTCACATCTGCTCAGAACATCGCTGGTGCTTCAAGGTGGTGGCTGTCACAGCGCCACCAACAAAGACAACCTCAATGAGCACAAGAAGACACAGTCGATCCCTATGGCTGCAGGTGCTCCTGAGGCATTAACTGAGAGGCATCCTTCTCCCTACCGCCCCCTATCTGTCCCTGACCAGCACCTCTGCTTGCTTTGGTAGCCGCTTGGCCCTCACTGGACGTACGTTGCTGCCGTGGCCCACTCTGTGCCACTGATGTGGAAGTCCCCAGAGGTGAATCCTGCAAAAGTGAAAACCAAGCATCCTGCTCAGATTTCTAGCCTCTGGAGGATTTGTACTCACCACTGTTCTTCAAGGACATTCTTGAGTGGGGCAAGTGGCACAATGGTCCATTGCCACCTCCGTCCAATGTATCATGCTGGCATATCTATGAACCAGGATGGAGGTGGGTTCCCCTCTGTCACATGATTGTAGGGACCCCAGCCCCCCATGAGGCCACAGACTTCCACTGAAGGGAGGCTCTGATTCCATGGTATAGCTGACCTGGTCACCTGGGCCACTTTTTATGTAACTTTTTGACTCTTGAGACTCACTTGATTCTAAGCCATGCAATGCATTTCTGCTGTCTGCCAGACAGTGACTGTGCCCACTTAGCAATGCCTGTGGTAGGCAGCTCTGGGTGTGTTACTGTGCCATGGCCTGTGGCCAGGTACCATGGTCCTGGGTGGTGCCAGGGCCCAGTCTTATCTTGGGAGCTGCTTTTCATGGGGCACATGGTTCTCTGCTGTGGCCTTGCTCCAGAATCCAGGGGCCCTTCCATGACACTTCCTGATAGTGGCTTGCAGGGACCCACCACAGGCCTCTCGTGCTCCACTAGACTTCTATCCAGGAGGAAAGACAGGAAAGCTTGCACCCAACCTGCCCCTGCTGTCTTTTCTCTTTATGCCTCATTCAAAATACAGGAAATGTGGCATTTGTAGCTTCCACCATTCAAAGAAGCCCACCAAGCACTGTGTACTGTGCAACAAGCCCTTTATCTTTAAGGGAATGTTCCAGCATGAGCCAGACTGTCATACCCCTTGAAATCCCCAAATGTGGCAGAACCTGGAATTCTTGTAGGATTTCTCTGACTTCTGGCCAGCAGGTGTTTCACCAGGACACACAGGTTACTTCCACTTCTTTTTCAGCAAGTCCAGTGAACAGAACATCCTCAGTAAATGAACCCATGAGACGTCCATCAGATGTGCAGGGAGTGAGGGCCCCGTGTGCCACGTTGTAACAGCAAGGGAGAGCTCACCCAGTGCTAGGGCAGGACAGTGGTCTGGGCACACTCAGCTGTCCATAGGCAGAGTGGGTGTAACACATTGACTGGAGCAATCTGCACACCTAGAAGCAGAGGCTATCCTTGGCAGACACCCCTGCCGGCTCCAGGGCATTGGAGTTGCCGCCCTGTTCCGCTTACTGCCCTCCATCCGGTTTGTTCAGAGGCCATGCCAGCGGCCTGAATGGGAATGTGAAGGGGGCACCACTCCCGAATTCTCTGTGTCTTTGAGGTTGGCGTTCGCATGTGTCCTTCAACCTGGAAGAAGTGTTTCCAAGTCACTGTCTCTGCTGGGGAATGAGGGCAGCTTCACGCGGTGACTGGGCTTTCTCTACCACAGGGCACTCACCCCTCAGGATAGGGAAACATGAGAGGACTCTGGCAGCTGCCAAATAAATCCACCATGAAGCAGGTGGGAACCAGGGAATGATCATAGGATGTGTCCACAAGCCTGCTGGATCGACTCTGAGGGGTACATGGGCCAGGACTCCATCCATCACTCGACATTCATAAGCCCTCGTACCACCTGGGGGCCATTT